CGCGGGTCGCGTCTCCACCTCCTCTCCCCCTGGCCTTTCACAAAATGGCCCAAAGAAAAGGTTGGCGGAGACATGACCACAGTGCTCGAGTGAGAACCACTGCAGCACTTGCATCTGAAGTAGCCAGGACATACAGCTTCGGCATGTACACAAGAAGATTTGGGGGGTGTAGGAGAAAGCGCTCATCACTAGGAGTGGCTTATGAGGCAACAAAGTCTTCGATTGCTTTAACACGAGTAAGAATGTTGTGCCTGGAGTTAGGCTCTGAGGGGGATGACGCTCCAGCCAGTGCACATGTAACTGCATCGAGCCATGCATGAGCAAAGGAAATGCTCTCTTTTTCCTACTGAGGTACGTGCACGGTTCTAAAGTGAAAAATAATTTTAAAGGTGTTTTTTTTTTTTTTTTTTAGGGATGCACCGATACCGATACTAGTATCGATATCGGTGCCGATACTGAGTATTTGGGAAATGCTCCGATGCCTAGCACGAGTACTTCCTGTATCAGGAAGCTGGGCAGCGCGTCATTACCTGCTGCCCGGTTTCCTGATTGGCTGGGAAGTGGTTCCATGCTCTCTCGTCACTTGTGATGAGAGAACATGGAGCCGACTTCTCGGCCTATCAGGAAGCCGGGCAGCATGTAATGACGCGCTGCCCGGCTTCCCGATTGGTCAGGAAGCTGGCCAATCAGGAAGCCGGGCGCCGTGTAATAACACAGCGCCCGGCATTCTGATTGGCCAGGAAGCTGGCTTCATGCTCCCTCGTCATCTCATGACGAGGGAGCATGGAGCCGGCCTCGCGGCCAATCAGAAAGCAGGGCGTCGCTTCATTACACGTCGCTCGGCTTCCTGACTGGCCAGCCACACTGCTGCGGCTGGGTAGCGGAGGAAGGCCGCGTTCTGGCTGGAGAGGCCCCGGGGGTGACGGGCTGGACATACCAAGGTAAGAGGGGACTTTCTTGTTAATCGGGAAGCCGGGTGGCGAGTCTTTACACGCCGCCTGGCTTCCTGAATGGGACTTCCGGTACTCGGTAATTTGGTATCCATGATTACCGGAAAAAAATATCGGTTATCGGTGCATCCCTAGTTTTTTTTTATTTTAAAAATGGTCCATGTGCACTGGGAAGAGGAGGAGGAGGGCGTTCTGCTGCAGTTTTGCTTTCTCTGAGAGGTTGGATTTATTTTATTAGGTTGGTAATGTTTTTTGGCAGGACAGACATGCCGTTGTCTTTGTACATCTTTTACCGTCTGTCACAGAGATTGTAACGGATTCGCTGTGCGAACGTTTGATTTTGTAGATCATCCACTGAAGCCGCCGTAGCCCCTCGCCTCACGTCAGCAGTGAAACCCCTTCACGAATTGTCCCCCTCGGAGGACATCATTGACATTAAACTGGACACGGACGACCCTTTCAATGACGACTTAAGCTTTAGCTCAGAAAGTTCATTACATGTCAGGAAGAAGCCGCCTTCTCTTAACAGGACGCAGAGACCTACGGTAGAGGTGTACAGGCCTCCGGGAAGCACGCACCGCCCGGATGAACGCAGCAGCGCACATAGACTGTCCCACAATGTCCCCGTGTCAGTCAGACAGTCCAGCTTCCGTAGCAACAGATCGGTTGGCCCCAAACCGTATGAACTGCAAGAGGCCGGCCGAGTGGAGGAGACCTTCAGATCTGCAATGGGCCCAGAAAGAGCTTTACATGAGGTAAGATCCTATGGAGACAAGTCTTATTAAAGGGCAACTCCAACAAAACTGGTCTTTCAGGTGGACACTATCCGCCTCTCCCACAAGGTAAGATTTAAACAGTGTTCTGGAAACTCCTCTGGCGCAGAGACTGATGTGACTGGCTCAGTGTTCTCTGTACAGCACTGTGGAATAAGTCAGAGCTATATCAATGTATAATAATGGTGTGTGACTGTGGG